ATTGAACAATTTGCCTCTTCGTATTTCCATTCAAAATCTTTCAAATGTTTTAAAAAGAACGAGAATTTTACGTAATATAACAAAGTTATGAACATAACACATTTGCATGTTTTTTTGGGGGTGTACTTAAACTTATAATCGGGAGCGTACGGTTTTATAAATTTCTCCATTCAACTGAGCAAAACTGCCTCACTCTCTGAGTTAGTCTCGTTGTCCGTGCACACGTAAATACAGGGATTTTTTTGTTCTAGACCCCTCGATAAGACTTTTTGAAATTAGCCTAAAATTAAAGGAAGACTCTAAACATTCATTTGGTGGAAGTTTCCGCGATATTGATCTTTTAAGACAATGTTTTCCATCTGAGAAACGTGTTACCACTAATTTATCAGAGGTATACAAGCAGAACGTGCACTGGGTAATTGCCAGGATTTGGGAGGAGGAAATATTACCCGAGGAGTGGATGGAAGGTGTCGTATGCCCAATCTACAAAAAGGGCGACAAGTTGGATTGCTGCAACTACCGCGCGATCACACTGCTGAGCGCCGCCTACAAGGTACTCTCCCAAATTATATGCCGCCGCCTGTCACCATTTGCAAGAGAGATCGCTACCACGGACTAAATTTTCACGACGATGGATCGAGTGATGTGCGTTGTTCGAGTATCGGGGACACTCTCGAGTCCATTTGAATCTCGGAGGGGGTTACGGCAAGGTGATGGACTTTCGTGTCTGCTATTCAACATCGCGTTAGAAGGTGTGATCAGAAGAGCTGGAATAGACACGAGCGACACGATCTTCAGGAAGTCCATCCAGATTCTTGGCTTCGCGAATGACATTGAAATCATGGCACGGAACTTTGAGACGATGGCGGAAACGTACATCAGACTGAAGGCTGAAGCTAGGCTGATTGGAGTGCCATCAACGCATCAAAGACAAAATACATGAAAGGAAGAGGTTCTAGGGAAGACCATGTTACCAGACCATTGACGGTGACGAAATCGAGGTGGTCGATGAATTCGTGTATTTGAGCTCACTCGTGACCTACGAAAATGATACCAGCAGAGGAATTCAAAGACGCATTATGGCAGGGAATCGTGCCTACTTTGGACTCCGGAGGACGCTCCGGTCGAATAAAATTCGCCGCCGCACGAAGTTGACTGTCTACAAGACGCTGATTAGACCGGTGGTCCTCTACGGCCACGAGACCTGGACTATGCTCGTGGAGGACCAACGCGCCCTTGGTGTTTTCGAACGGAAGGTGTTGCGTACCATCTACGGTGGAGTGAAGATGGATGACGGAACTTGGAGGAGGCGAATGAACCACGAATTGCACCAGCTGCTGGGAGAACCATACATCGTCCACATTGCAAAAATTGGGCGACTACGGTGGGCTGGGCACGTCGTAAGAATGCCGCACGACGACTCAGTGAAAATAGTTCTAGAAAGCGACCCAACAGGAACAAGAAGAAGAGGCGCGCAGCGGGCAAGGTGGATCGACCAAGTAGCAGGCGACCTGCGTACCCTTCGCAGACTACGAGGCTGGCAAAGTATGGCCATGGATCGAGTAGAGTGGAGACGACTTCTTCGGACAGCAGTGGACAACAAGGCCTTAGTCTGATTGGTAAGGTCAGTAATACAAGTGGAACGACTCACCCAAATTTATGTATCCACAAATCTGCATGAAAATCTTCACCAGTAAAAGAAATCCAGAATATATTTGTCTTATCCCACTTAGGCTGATGTAAATTGTATTTTCATTTTATGATATGCGAGAAGTGCCCACCAAATTTTGAGAAATTTTTGAACTACTTTTCATCAGCCAACAGATCTTTATCTCCTTAACAGCTTTGCCAAAAAACAGTAAATTTCTAGCTGTCCAGGATCTCGAGATATGCGAAGATTTCACGTATATCTTATCACCGCGTAGTGAGAAAATTCTGTACTGTCAGCCATCGAAAAAGTTTTGATCTCCTGGACAACTTTGCCGATGACAGTTTAGCAGGTCTCGAAATATATCTAATGCGAGAATTGCACGTGTATTCAAGCGCAATGATGTGAAAAAAAAATTGAATTTCTGTACACCAGCCAAAAGGCCTTGGCCCTCTGAACAACTTTGCACAAGACAGTTAAATTCTATTTCGGCAGGATCTCGTGATATTCAATATGTGAAAATTTCACTTGTATACTAGCGCCGCTTAGGAAATTCTCAACTATTATATACAAAGTAATAAACAACTTTGTCGACGACAGTAACTTTCTATCTGGTCAGGATCTCGAAACAAACCACATGCGAGAATTTCACGTGTATACTAGCGCTACGTAGTGAGAAATTTTTTAACTACTTTTCACTAGCGAAAAAGTTATGACCTCTTGAACAACTTTGTCGGCGACAGTAACTTTCTATCTGATCAGAATCTCGAGATATTTTACATGCGAGAATTTCGCGAGTATAATAACGCCACGTAGTGCGAAAATTCTGAACTATTGTGCACCAAGCAATAGGCATTGACCGAAAAAATTTGAATAGGCATTATTGGTGAAAATATTCTGGGCTACTGTCCACCAGCCAAAAAGTCTTGACTCCCTGAACAAGTTTGCCCAAAACAGTAACTTTCTATCTGCTCAGAAACTCGAGCTATTGTATATGCGAGAATTGCATGTGTATACTAGCACCGCGTAGTGAGACAATTCTGAACAACTGTCCACCAACGAAAACACCAATTCTGATTATTACATCCAGAAGGTGTATGCTGGACAAAAATGCCAACCCAAATTGATTCCCTACGCAAATAATCAATCTATGAGGTGGATTTTGCGAATAAACGGTATGAGCAGTTCTGATAGCACAACTTATATGTATGGCAAGTTTGTGCTATCAGAACTGCTCATACCGTTTATTCGCAAAATCCACATTGATTATTTGCGTATGAAATCAACCGTCCCTCTCTCTTCGCTCGATAGTCATAGCCAACAACCATGCGATTGGTTGGTAAATGTCAGTACTTTTCTAATGATAAACTTTTATAGGCTTTATGCCAAACGAATCTTACATCAAATCTGAATCAAATGGTGTAAACCTAATTGAAACCCATCCATAAATGGCCAAGTTATAAGCGTTTAAAACCTAGCACTATTTGGTCACACATTTTTTATTTTGATTTGCACCCCAGTATAGTCCACAAAGACGTATTCCTACGTTAAAAGAATGAACAATGCTCCAAAGTGCGTTGCCATCGCTGAAGAAATCTACTTCTTCTTCTTCTTTCTTCGCATTTCAAGCTTATTGCATATCGCATATTAGCTTATTGCTTGCTCTCAACTTAGTGGCCTAGATGCACTTCCACAGTTATTAATTGAGAGCTTTCGATGCCTGTACCATTTTTGCAGTAGTATAAGTAAGGCAAGTCCAATCATACTTCTATGCCCAGGGAAGTCGAGAAATTTTCCAACCCGAAAAATTCCTAGACCGGACCGGGAATTGAACCCAGCCACCTCCAGCATGGTCTTGCTTTGTAGCTGCGTCTTTACCGACTGAGCTAAGGGAGGAAGAAATCTAAGACATGCCAAAAATGAATTCCATCAAAGATCCTGGACCGGGTATGGAAAGTTTAACTTTTTTTTTGGTTTGGCTTATTCAAAAATTATGAGGATTTAGAATTCATCACTTTATCAAGAAGCCTGGAGCTTAATCTGAGCTCACCGTAACCGCCTTATGTGCGCGAGGATTTTTTTTCTGCTTTTTAAATGGGAGCTTACGCACATAACGGTTAAACGATATCAAGAACCTGGGTTTGGAAAAATTTGCAAAATTCGAGTCTAGAAACAATATCCCATATTTTAGGGCCAACACCAAGACTTCGAGGCCAGACTTCGAAAAAGGATCTTTCGAGGAGAAATTCAGTTAAGAATACGTAATTTAGCTCATTTGGGTTTTATTGCACACCAAGAAATTGCAGTTTCAAAAAGGAAGCACTCAGGTTGTTTTCAAGTGAAAATAAAAATGATGCTAAATTAATTTTGCAATGATTTAGCGTAAAACAAAACTGTTAGGTAACCTGCAACATGAATTTCCTACAGGATCTAATTATGAGATTTCCATTTGAATAGACCGATCTAAGCCGTTAGAGGAATCTGTTTCCATCTGGAGTCATTTCTCAAGTTGCTCAATGTACTTACACTGCTTCATAAACCTTCCACACATTGAACACAAATCGGAAAAGATTTCCATTGTGGGAAACCTAGAAAATTGATTCGTCAGTGCATTGACGAAATTGAACCCCAGCGTATTGACGTATTGACGTACTGACGAATCGCGTTCTAGAAATCATTAAAAGGTTACATCAAACGTTATAATTTGTAGCGTGATTGTGCCTGCAAAACATATCAAACGCCGTCGTGTGACGCAATGATACCGGATATTTTCCATGGATCTCTAATTACCTGGCTAAATTAATGCTCGCGAAACTTACACATATTTAGTACGGAGAAAATATCCGTATTCTACTCCCTCCGTCCCATCGGTCAGCGCTATTATACTAGGCGCGCACAGCTTGGCTGAGAGAACTCAGCCTCCGCGATCCTTATCAGCCCGGTACCACGAAAGCCCCCCGAACCAACCTACCTGCTAACTAGAGAATACGCACGAAACGTACTAAGTCGCTTCGTTTGTTACAATTAAATTTTATTCGGAATCTAGAACGAAGATGAGCACGATCCGATGCGCGCTGCCATTTATCATCACCTGCTGAAGCGTGAGAAAATGCTTGAAATGCGTGCCCTGAAATGAGAGGGTTGCGGCTGGAGCATTCGGTTAGTAGCACTGTATAAGCGTCTGCTTGGAACAGATTTTCATCCCCCTCCCAGGCAAATGATGCAGGGGGGTTCGTTTTTTTGGGGTGTAAATAGCGTTGCGCGCGAATATAGGTTGGAGCAATTAGGCCGATATAATATCAGTATAAATAGAGTGCGCTCCCGGTGTGGGCTAAGTATTCTTAATCGGAAAAGCGCGACGGAGAAAAGCTCCCGGTAAGGAGCTGCGGGTGTATTTGAATTCAAAGTGAAATGCTCAAGTGAACAAAGGAAAGGCAGCAAGCGTTTTCGGTGGCTTTTTTAGCAACACAAGGAAGTTTGAGAGTTTGAAGCAGACGTGTAAGCGCAGGGCCTGTTCCTACTCCGAAGGAGTGATTGAAGAGATTTTAGTGAGCGACTGTAAGGATTTACAATTAGAATCAAAATGGTGTTGCTAGTGAAAAGTATGTCGATAAAAAAGGACTGTTTGTTGGAAAAAGGAGAAAATAAGTTGATTTGATGTTCGTGATTTTTCAGGAATTGTTCCCGTATTCGTCATCCTGGCCGTCGTGCAGCGGTTAGGCGCTCAAAGGGATTATTGCGACAAATCGTTGTGCAGTAAGTGTTATGAAGAAATGAATATCTACGAAGTTATGAAATGTTTTACGAGAGACTGAGTTGTTTGCAATAAGCTAAGTTGTGTGTGGTTCAAGAGCTCATATTAAAACATATCTTCATCTGTAAGAGTTCTACTGTGGATACTGCAATAGTAGTGGATTTTTCTATTGTTGCTGAATTCATGCCACTATGGGGCTTACAAGTGCAGTAATGTATGACTCGTGCATGTACACTACAGGACATAAGTAGAGGAATTTACGTATTCTCGGCAACCTAAGCAGCGACCTTCTTTCTATAGCCTTTTTCTCTAAGGAACGCACACATATGCAGTATTGGTTTGTTTACAATCTTTTGCTGCCAGCTGCTCTAACAATTTCAGTCGAAAGAATTGTCAAAAACTGTTTTGAAACGCTTGTACAAAGCTCCAATCTTCTCTAGTGAGAGCGAGTATTGTCGGCAACCAGTTTTTATTCGGCAACCGTTCCATTTGAACTGCATGTAAATCTGCTGTTCTATTATCGGCTACCCGAAATCAGCTACAATTTGTAGTGCGTGTGTTGCATTTCAAGAAAACCTTGCTAGATTGCTTTTTCTCAGTGGTAAAAATATAGTCAAATTGAAGCTGAAAGCATAAAGAATCGTTTGCATGTATTCAGCGAAGCGTTTTCGTAAGAAAATCCAGTGAAAATAGTGTTTTGATTTGTGTTGCCGAAAATAGTCTGTCATGCCGAAGCCGTCATTTCCCCTATATAACATCGCGATTTAAAAAAAATCAAGGCGCTGTAACTTTTCCGGAGTTACCGAGTATGGTTTTGCGCTTGTTTGAATTAAACTTGAGTATTTTTAAAAAATTTAGTAAAACGCCATTTATGGAATAGCTTTTTAAAAAATAATATTCCCAGAAGTATAATGAATCAAATATGTTGAAATTTTGTTAATTTATTTCAGCATATTTGATTCAGTGTACTTCCGGAAACATTATTTTCAAGGATTATTCCAAAATAAAAGGTGATTTACTAAAAACTCTTAAACTTCTTACAGATTGAATCAATTAAAACTACAGCTATTCCCCGAAGAACACGTTACCCATTGAGTTCTACCATAGAGGTAACTCTAAATAACGTGCTTAACTTTTTGGCTCAGCGCTGGTACTCTCTTCGGTCCCAAGCTAATCGATTCACCCCTCGAAACATAGGAAAATCCACTAACCCCTCATTTTATATGTCAAACTTTGATAGAAAATCAAAACAAACATAGTGTAGTACTGGAATTTATACTAGAATGGGATACGTTAATCGTTTGCTTGGGACCAATAGGCTAGTCAAGTAGTGAGCCAATTTAAAATCGTTAGTTTCGTATTGATTGTTGGTTCTACCCCCCACTTTTTATCGGCGGGCTTTCAATCAATCTGTCTGATTTGTTGCATGTGAGCAGTGTCAATGGAGAACTAGTCACTCGCAGAAAATCAGAGCGATTGGTTGAAAACCCGCCGAGAAAAAGAGGTGGGTAAAACTCAGTGGGTAACGCGGTCTTTGGGAGAAAGCTGTATACCGATAAATTTAAAAAAAACTTGAACAACCAGCAGCCAAGATTTCAGAAAATTTAATAAACATCCGGAAAAGTTACAGCTCTTTGAATTTATTTGAAGCGGTAAAAAATCACAATTTTGCATTTAGGTATAATTCGATAGGTTCCTACTGCACCATATTTATTACCATCCTAGCTTAGGTCTTGCGTTACATGCATGTCCACTTATAACAGATGGAATTTAGTCTTTGTTTCGAATTCAACATAGGGTTTTTGATCTAATTTCCGTCCTACTAAGGACATCCCGCACTTTACCACGCTTTTTGGAAAGCGTTTGAACAAAACATGGAATGTTTTCATCAGAGATAACTTCTAAATGTATCCACCTTTCCATACGTACCGTTGGATTTGATAAAGAGTTAAACAATGTTGAGATATTGTTTAAAATCTAACACTGCTTCTTGCTTCTAAATTCGTCCTACGCGTTTCAATTCCGTCCAAACGCATTGAAACGCCATTAGATTTTCTTCGTCCTACGGATAAACGGAGAAAAGGGGGATACGCTAGGAGCGCTTCTTTTGTTTTGAGAACAATGAGCGTAAATATGCATACAATGCGCTCTAATAGGATTCATGTCGTAGCTAATGAACTAATGCATCGGAACAAACGTAGTATTGTTTTGTGCATGGTGAAATCATTGATATTATTGATGATTTCTGCTCGAAAATGGGCGATTACGACGAAGTAGCGCTCTTCCCTACTACGGCCAAAAAGGGTTGGGTGGACCTATAAGGAGAGACATTTACCCGAAACCCGCGGGAATAGCAGAATCTCCTTCCTACAGTATGATTCAACAAAACGAATAACGTAGTTCGGAATACATATTAAGCTTCACGTGGGATGGTAATAATATGCAACTCGTACATGTACGTATTCGGATAATTCAAGTTGCACAAACTCCAGGATGGCCACTGGATTTAAGAATGTAAATTCCCGGTTGTTTACTGACATAGTTTTCCCGGTTTAAACATAGTAAAACTACCCCCATTAACATTGTAAGTTTTATCGAGGTTCTTCAGGAGCGAGGTCGACAAGAGCATGATAAACCCAAAACTGTTACTTGGGACATAGGTTGTTATTTCGGAAAACTAAAAGTACTCTAATACCTAGTGGTTTCGACCAGATGATTGGAATTGCTTTTTGGGCTTTCTCAGTCTTATTTGGTTTGGTTGGTTTCCAACGGTACGGCCTTTTTCAAAAGTTGTAATGTCTACCGTTACATAGTTTTTGGATTACGCATAGAGGACAGCGTACGTGGAGCGTTTTCATAACACTACATCGTTTGCGGTACGGATCACATTTGATTCTAATGAATGCGGTCTGTAGTTGTGAGATCAAAATACGTAGTTTACAGGGGAATTTAGAAGATAATCACAGGACAAGCCTTGTCAAACTTGAATTTTTAGAAGAAACGAAATGAATTCTAAGGATTACTTAAAGCTAATTTCTGGAGGAATACTGAACAGAATCTTAGAAAATTTTCTGAAAACAATAATTGTATGATAGTTCTCTTTAGATTTCCAAGATGAACTCCACGAGTTCTTAGGAATATTCCAGGAGTTAATTTCCAAAGTGTAACTTTTAAGAGGATTATGGAGATAAATTTAAGTGCAACCTCGCAAGAATTATTGAGAATACTCAGATAATTGTAAACTTCCCTGCAGCGGATTCATAAAGTAGTATGCCGAGAATTACGAAGGCTGTTAAATTTCTTAAGGCTTGAATATTTCAAGGGAATGGGGAATGCCAGAGAGAATCATAATATCCAAGGTAATCCTGAAATCACAGACAAACAGACATAACGCATTGAATATTTGTCAATATAAAACAACGTCGCTAAAACACTACAGCTCACTACTTGACTAGCCTATTGGTCCCAAGCAAATCGATTAACGTACCCCATTCTAGTCGAAATTCTAGTACTACACAATGTTTGTTTTGATTCGCTATGATAGTTTGACAGATAAAATGAGGGGTTAGTGGATTTTCCTACGTTTCGAGGGGTGAATCGATTAGCTTGGGACCGAAGAGAGTACCAGAGCTGAGCCAAAAAGTTGAGCACGCTTCTTCGGGACCTTCTGGTCTTAGAGTTACCTCCATGCTAGTAGGTCCCGAAGAAACGTGCTCAACTTTTTGGCTCAGCTCTGGTATTATCTTCGATCTCAAGCTAATCGATTCACCCCTCGAAACATAGGAAAATCCAATAACCCCTCATTTTATCTGTCAAACTTTCATAGCGAATCAAAACAAACATTGTGTAGTACTAACGGCGCCGGTGGTGTAAAGGAAAGCGTGATTACCTCTCACCCCTGGGTGAGTTCCCAAGTCGGCGCCGCCGGGATGTTCTGAGGGATTCGGATGGGAAGTAAAGCTGTTGGTCCGCAGTTCATAAGTTGATGGGTCGATAGGTAGGGTCCAGGTGTGGGAGCTGCTTTCCTGGCACGTCGGTAGCATTGGTGCTCAGCACGGAAAACAAGATCGACGGAAAAAACAAACCAAAGGAAAAAAAAAAATTGTGTAGTACTAGAATTTTGACTAGAATGGGGTACTTTAATCGATTTGCTTGGGACCAATAGGCTAGTCAAGTAGTGAGCCAATTAAAAATCGTTAGTTTCGTATTGATTGTTGATACTACCAACTAGACACATTTAAATTTACCGTATAATGCGTGTTCGATGAACAAATTGCCAGTTTTATGTCTGTTTGTTTGTGCTGAAAGTATCTCAGAAGATATCTTGGGGGTAATTCTCACGATTGTTTTGTTTTTAGACATTGAAATATTTTCGCACAGACAAACAGACATAATACTCGTAAGTTGTTCATCGAACAAGCTTTTACGGTCAAAGTATCGTAGTTGGTAGTACCAACAATCAATACGAAACTAACGATTTTAAATTGGCTCATCACTTTAGTAGCCTATTGGTCCCAAGCAAACGATTAACGTACCCTATTCTAGTTGACATTCTATTACTACACTATGATTGTTTTGATTCGCTATGAAAGTTTGACAGATAACATCAGGGGTGTGTGGATTCATGCAGAACATGCAGGGGTGAGTGAAATAGCTTGGGACTGCTTGGGACCGTTGTTCTGGTACTGAGTGAGCCAAAAATAATAATGATTTTCTTCGGGACCCAGTGGTCTTAGAGTTACCTCTATGGTAGTACCGCCACCTGTGGCGCTCATAGTCAATTCCGTTGCGTTTGACGTTTACACACTACTGCCATCTGTACCCACCATAGTGTACTCAACAGATGGTGGAAATGTTTTAGTGACGATATTTTACAGTGAGAAATATTCAATGTGTTATGTCTGTTTGTCAGTGATTTTCGTATCAAGATCCCAACCACAATAATTTAAGCACAGACAAACAGAAATAACACATTGAATACATCTCACTGCAAAACATTGTTGCTGAAACTCTAAAAAATTGTGATGGGTAGTATGCTCAGTGTAGTGTGTAAACGTCAAACGCAATGGAATTGACTATGCGCGCCACAGTTGCTACTACAAACTAAAAAACATTTAAATGGACCGTTAAATGCGTGTGCGATGCAAAACTTGTGATAGTTATGTCTGTTTTTTTAAATGATTCAAGATTCAGAAGTTGAAAACACATTTTTCAATTAGAGTTTAGGAGGTGCATGATGGGATTTGAAACATATCAGGTTTTATCAATTTTCAAGGGGTATTCCGGGACATGTCCGAGTGTGGTTGTGGTCAATGCTTCAGTGCTGTAAGTCGTCACTGCCCAACAAACAATTTGAGCTGATTAAAAGCTGAATAAGCCATTTTTGAGCTAAACAAGCAAAGTTTTGCCTCAATAAGCTCTTATTAAGATTTTTTTGTTTGTTGGGCGTATTCGACGCATTTTCTGAGATAATCTGCTGCTTTTGCTTCCGACACTTGCAAAAAAAGCTATCAAAGTACAGTACCAAACTAAAATGACATATGAAAGTCTCTGCCATACGACACTGTCACCGAAGACCTTCACATAATTATGAATTTTAGAGATTTTCTCATAATAAGAGCTGCTAATGTTGTGCTTGTGTGAATTCTGAAAATAGCAAGCAACGATGTCTTAGTAATAACATCCCTAATAAAAATAACCATAAAAGAGAGCTTAACGACGTATTCGGGATATCATCCAAACCATTTGTGGGATAGTTTATCCATCCGGGATACAGTTCGTTTATGGTGTTTGTTTATTAGGGATTTCTGATCAGAATTTGTTTAATTTACACAAAATTGAGGAATTAGAACGAAATCACACATGGCAATATGATATTTATTTGATAATTTTCTCTTTGCTCTAATGTTGTTCTACCGTTTGAGTTGTGTAAGAGAGACTACGGTAGAGCATGAGTGTACAAATACAGACTGTCGCGCTCGACAACGAAGCGAGTGTAGTAAAAACGTAAATCCTGTCAACCCCTGGTCCTGGTCCCTCAATGTAGCAGGTATTGATTTTGATTTTCAATTGTCATGGTGGGTTTTGACTCAAGTAAGAATATGACCACTAGGCTGGGTCAACCCAACAACCTCTTATTCCCGACTGCTCCTTCGATCTGTATTGAGATCCCCAACAACTGCGCCAAATTTGAAAGAATTTGGTTAAGATATGGATATGCGGTAGAAATTATGTATGGGCAAATGTATAGGAAACGAAACGAAACTATTCCTATTAATTTGTTTGTCAAAAATGTAAAAATGGCTTTTTACCAAATCAGGGATTTGGATCTAGGAAATATGCGGAACAACTTTGTCGAAGATCGCAAATTGATTCGACTTCTGTACAAAAAAAATACTAACCTTTAGGCCACATGCTACCCACATACCACTGAGTTGTTCTGCATAGTTATAACAATCTAAATCTCAGCTTTGATCAAAAATGAGCAATTTTTGAATTCCTGACAAGCAATTGAATAGTTTCGTTCCATGTACCATACATTTTCCCTTACAATTTTTAAAGTTCTCCCACATATCCAGATTGTAACAAATTTCGTTCAAATATGGCACAGTTGTTGGACACCTCAATACAGATCGAAAGAACAGTGGGGAGCAGGAAGTTGAGATCCACCATACAAACATGACCCACCCTAATGACCACTTCCTCAAGGGTAGAGCGAGCGGATGTAGGACAAAAGGCCGAAAGACAAAACAGTCGAAGGATAACAGATCGAATGGACAGAAGGTAGAATGGACAAAAAGTTGAATTTAATTTAAAGGGACAAAAGGTCGAAATGGACAAAAGAGTCGAATGAAAGTTTAACCAACGCATTTCATTATCGGTTTGGCGTAACTGATAGCTCGCTCCCGTATACTAACAAACACCACTATCAGGTAGTGGAAAATTTCCCCTATCTGATGGTAGTGTTAGCATGCGTGGGCGAGCTACCAGTTACGCCAAATCGACGGTCAAATGCGTTGTTTACAAAAGTTGATACGTCCCTTGGAAAAAGTAATCGAGATTTCAGGATTACTTATTTACCCGTTGCAATTCGAAACGTCATTTAAAATCCAACCCGAAAACTCGTTGCTTGAACCAAGGTTTGGTTGATAGTTAAGTTAAAGTAACCTTCCTGGAATACATATGTGCTTCCTTTCTTCCAGAAAACAACCAACCACACGTTGCCTGCGGCAAGGGCGACAGCTATGGTCCATTCTGTCCGCCGAACCGAGAGCTCGTTCCCCTGTCGGAGGAGGTTAAACGATACATCCTCGACTTGCACAACCAATTCCGGAGTACCGTGGCACGGGGTGATGTCACCGGTTATTCGCCCGCTTCCCGTATGCCAACATTGGTAGGAATTTCGATCTATAGGTACGTCTGGTTACGAACCCTTTTCTCAAAACCCACTTTGATGCTTAGGTGTGGAACGACGAGCTGCAGAAGCTGGCCGAGTACAATGTGAAAACATGCATCTACGGACACGATTACTGTCGAAACACTCCGGAGTTTCCGCTGGTCGGTCAGAACATTGCCGCCAACTCGTTCTACGGCATGGAAGTAACTCCATTGGATACGATGACTGAGCTGCTGTACAGTTGGTACGGGGAGTATGAGAACGGCAACATGGATTTCATAAACTCCTATCCACTGCTGGGACATGATCCTCCGTAAATATTACGACCACTATGATAGTGGCACAGATTCTTAAATTATACCTTTTCCTTTCCGGTGTACAGGAAGGATATCGGCCACTTCACACAGATCATGATGGACCGGGCGGTATCGATCGGTTGCGCCATGATCCAGTACACCCAGAACGAACAGGGCCACGACTGGGTGCATCAGAACTACGTCTGCAACTATTCCAACTCGATAGCACGAGGCCATCCGGTGTACATTGAAGGGCCTACCTGTTCCAAGTGTCTAACCGGATGCAGTAGTGTCTATCCGGGATTGTGTAACGTCGGCGAACCGGTGGAACCGACCAAGACGTAGTTCGTCACTGAGACCGGGGAGGTATTTACGAGTGTGGATGGAATTGTGGAAATTCATGCAGCAGCTTAATAATCATGTACATACGTATCTTTTAGCCGAGCGAGAGACAGAATGATTTAACTAATTTACTAACTCATTCAAGTGTATGCCCTAAGGACAATGATATAAATTATTTTCGTAGCAAACGAGCAGAGCAGAAACCGTTTTTATTACTCATTCATCCCAAATCATTTTCCCCATTTTTGTGCCGCTAATTATGTTTATTTTCAGGGATTGTACGCAAGTTTTCAGCAATTCATCGAGGATCTTTTTTCTGTCATGTTGAGGAGTTAATTTGCGTGTTTTTGCATCTGATTAAACACGTCCATTAACTCTGGTACATGATGATAAAAACGAGCACCGCACGGAAAAACAACTAACCGAATGTGACTGTAAAAATAAATGAAAATAAAATCAAGTGAATTGAATACCACCAAAAACGACTATGTTTCAATAATTTGTATAGAAAGAAAACGAACGCCCAGGCTGAAAATCTCTATGATAAAAAAAAAACATTTCAATTTCAAGTGATTTAGCCTGAGGGCCTCTTCATCCTAACTCAACCTAACGTGTCAGATCCCGAATGATCTGCTGACCGAATCGCCACAGCAATCTCTAAACCTGATGGCAGATGGTTTCGAAATAGAATTGTTCCGCCTGAGAATGTTTGTTTACTTGAATAGGTTGGTGTATAAGCGCTAAGCGCCCATTACACATGTCAATATATTGACAAACATCATATTGTCAATTTTCCTTAAATATTATCAATACATAAATATTGACAACATTAATGACAATACGCTAAAGCGCTCGTTTCAAGGGTCAATATATTGACAGTAAATTGACATACTGAAAATATTGAAAAGGCAATATTGATGACGATGGATTGATGACGAGTATTGTAGAACAACTGATTTTCATTTCACTTTGTCAATATTCTACGCCTACCCAAGAGGGGGAGAACGTACGTCATTTAGATCGACTAACTCACAAACTCGCTCACAAAGCACCTTCGCGCATGCAGCGAGGCATGCAGTGTTGTCATTTGTTTAAATTTTCGTCTGTGGTATGCAATCGATTTCAAACTAAATAAAAAATGTATCTTTTTACAGTCACCAATCACTCAGGCTTCGTTTATATGGATGTACATTTTCTACAAAATCACAAGCATAATAATGTTATTATTTTACTTTGAAATAAAATAAATACCTACTATCAGCGTTTCACATACCTACATGTAACGTAAATTAATTATTATACACGAAACGAAAATCAATTATTTTATCTATGTGTTTCACTTGTACATTTTTGCCAACATATCAGCCTTATACATTCCATAAGACAAACCACATAGGTCCTATAAGAATGCATAAAAGGTATGTGTGACCGCTTATACATTTCATTTGACACATGATCTTCATTAACTTTTTGCAAGACATCTGCTTATTAGTTGACTTATACATTTTATGAATAATCAGCTAAGATTTTGTGACAAGCAATGCATTAGGTATAGGAAAAACGTCACGGAGGGGGGGTGCCCGATTTAGCGTGACATAATTAATGCATGGGCCCTAAGAGATTAGGAATCAAGTAGATGAAAAATAACTGCCTAACTCATTTTTTCTTCGTTTCAAGATCATCATCATCAACAAGGCATAAAAAAGGACTAAGATGTGTTCCTTTGATTCGTAATCCTAAGCAAACTTATCGAAAAAAAAAACAAATTGGAATTTGGTAGGAACATCTCCCCGAGCCATGACTAAGGAAACATCATTTGCCATGTATTTCTTATATCTTATACCGTGCTAGCACCATATTTGAAGCACAGACAAACAGACGTAACGCTTTGAATAAAATTAGCTTCAAAACATAGTACGATAGTACCGCCAAGCATAGGATTTCAGTAACGACATCTCGCGGAAAACAAGCTTGCTCGCTGATTCGCAAACAATGTTGCATGCAAGAAAACCCGAATATAAAGAAACGTCAAAGTGATCCGATGCCAGCGCTGCAGCGAGTAGTTCGCGGAAACGATAAAATTCAAACCAATCGTTAAATGCGCAAACGATGATCCAGAATAAGGAGTTACGTCTGTTTGTCTGTGTTTGAAGCGTTCCTAGAGATGACACACTCGCCTATTTTTTATCGCATCTCGATTTTGACAATATATTTTTCAAAACATTGTTACAGCATCATCCCGTAAGCACTGTAACTAATATTTTCAGAACTTTGAAATTGTCGAACATTATTGAGTGCGTCGATTTAGGAACCGCTAAGAATAAGGTTGCCCCCACGGTACACTGGTTTCACAGATTAACGACAAACAATACGATACTGCGGGGGCCCCAAATTTGTTGGACAATTCGTAAATCGAGGTGTAGTTTAAATAGTTCTCTTTATTAACGAGACTTTCAGCCGCGTAAACCGAGGTGTTTGGGGCCGTTCATAAACCATGTAGACTTGCTATGGGGAGGAAGCTTACGGTAGTCTACGAGGGGGGAGGTTTTACGTAGATTCCTTTGTAAAATGTTCGGGGATTTGCTCACTAAGCAAGTTCACAATATTTTGCCCTTTACTTTAATGTGACTCGTTGAGTTTTGTTCTTTTATGTATTCCACCCCCTAGAGGTCTTCTACTACCGGGGAACTTCTTTCGAATTTGGACTGGCACAGGATACTCGTCCCTGCCGATGTCAATGCAGCTGCCCAAACGCTCTCGCATATTTTGGCTTACGTCATTGAGCGACGCGTTCCGAAAAAAGTTCCTAAACAAGGCAATCACCATCCTTGACAAAAAAGTGAACTCCGTATGTTAAAGTCTTCCAAAAGAGCCGCGTTAAGAAAGTACCACACCCTACAACTCAAGGACAATTATGCGAGGATCAATCATGCGTATCAACGAACCAGTCGCTAATGTTAAGGTTCAATTTACTTTGATGCTTTTGGGAAAATTTCAAAAGCAGTTTTTTTCCGACGCATTATTTCAGATAGCAAAAAGCTCGCACTATTCGATTCCTTTTGATATTTTACACAAAATGACGCGGGCTTTTTGCAATCTAAAATAATGCGTCGGAAAAACTGCTTTTGAATTTTTAAAAAATGCATCAATGTAAATTGAACCTTAAGAAAATAAACCAAGTACAACACCCTACAACTCAAGGACCATTATGCGAGGATCAATCTTGCGTGTCAACGAACCAGTTGCTAATGTTATCGGCGTTATCAACGAGATGTTCAACGGAAGCTTCGATATCACCCGAAAACTTTTTTGAATTATGTGAATGAGCAACGAAAGGAGTCTGGCCTTCCATCGACTACTGAACGGCGAAAAAGCTTCATCCCCTCAGGACATTTGCCGTCTGTTCTCAACCAAGTTTGCGAGTATATTCTCGGATGAGAACCTGTCTGACGAGCACGTTTCTCTAGCAGCCAGTAATATTCCAATGTCTGGTCAATCTTTGGCAGCTATCAATATCGACCTCGCTATGATAACTAGAGCGGCTTCGTAACTTAAGCCTGGACCTGACCGAGGACCTGACGGAGTTCATTCCGTCTTTATCAACCAATACATCGATAGCCTGGTGGCTCCTCTCTTACTTCTGTTCGAAATGTCCCTATCCAGTGGGGTGTTTCCTTCCTGCTGGAAATCAGCTGAGATGTTTCCAGTGCACAGTGGCGTCCCGTAACCTCACTTTCTACCTGTGCACCAACTTTCAACACCAGATTTAATGCCATATTCATACACGAATCGGTTGAAAAATACACTTAATCTTCTAGTTTACTCGATATCTATACACTACAAGCAATATTTTGATAATTGTTTATGTTTTGGGAGTTGGTGCATAAGTAGATTGAGGTTGAGGAAACGCCACTGCCAGTGCATAAGAAGGGATGCAAAAGAAACATCGACAACTATCGCGGCATCATATCTGCCATAGCTAAACTGTTCGAGTTGGTCGTTATGGAACCATTAGTCTCTCACTTCAAGCAGCACTTGAGCGAAGACCAGCATGGTTTCATGGCAGGGCGGTCGACTACTTCCAAACTTCTGTGTCTCACCTCGCACATTACAAAGAGTATGACAGACCATATGCAAACAGTTGTCATCTACACTGACCTATCAGCCGCCTGCGACAAGTTGAACCATCCTATCGCCAAACTGGATAGGCTCGGTATAAACGGCAGTCTCCTAGGATGGTTCGCATCCTATCTATCTGATCGTCAGTTGGAAGTTACAATCGACGACTGCCGATCTCCTTCGTTCCCTGTCACTTCGGGTGTTCCGCAAGGTAGCCACCTCGGCCAGTTAATATTTTTTGTGTATTTCAACGACGTCAATTTCGTCCTCGACGGTTCACAACTTACTGTCGTTCGCAGACGACATCTCCTAATCCGAGCCATCGCTGACTGCCACCTTCTCCAAGTCCAACTCAACGCTTTTGCTAATTGGTGCCAACTGAACCGCATGGTTGTAAATCCAACAAAATGTTCAGTAATCACGTTCTCACGGAAGAAACATCCAATTACATTCAGTTATATCCTAGAAGGCGTTGACGTACATAGTGTGAATCACATTAAGGATCTGAGAGTCATCTTAGATTGTCAACTCACATAAAGATCGACAAGGCATCCAAAACGCTTGGCTTCATTTTCAGGATAGCTAAAAGTTTCACGGACATCTACTGTTTGAAGTCGCTTTACTGCTCCCTCGTCCGGTCGGTGTTAGAATACTGCTGCCCTGTATGGAATCCCAATTACCGAAACAGTGTACAAGGAGTAGAGTCTATTCAACGACGATTCATCTCGTTTGCCCTTCGACGATTGCCTTAGAGGGATCCTCATCGCCTTCCAAGCTACGAAAGTCGGCGCCAGTTAATTCACCTGGATCCTCTGTGCAGTCGAAGAGGTACGACAAGGGCCCTGGTTGTGGCAGACATTCTTCCGGGCAGAATCGATTGTCCTTCTATTCTACAACAATTCGACGTTAATGTTCAACCACGAGCACTCCGTAACAACGCAATGCTGAGGATACCTTTTCGTCGTACAAACTATAGTTCGTATGGTGCTATCAATGGGCTACAAAGGGTTTTCAATCGTGTTGCTTCCTTATTTGATTTTCACTTGGCATGCGAGACGCTGCGTCAGAGATTCCGTGATATATTTTTAAGAATTAGGAATTAAGTTGGACTTCGCGGCCTTTTCAGCTTGTTACTTCTTGACTATATTGTATTTTCTAGTATTGCTTAATCCATCATTAGGACTAAACCCAGTCTGTTGATGTAGAACCAAATAAACAATAAACAAAAAGAACAGTTGGTATTTGGACAACAAACTCTGTTTTACTGACCGTTGTTAGTTTTCGGATGAAGTTTTTGTGTCCATGTCCATTCGTAATAAGTTTTAAATTTTTGGCGATTATTTGAGACATCATATATATTTGAAAAAAAATGTAAATTTTATATTAGGAAAAATAACGGCTTCAGCACTTCTTTACATTATATCGTCAAATGAAGTCCTTAAGCGCTGATTATTTGCAGGAAGGTGCATCATATTCCAGAGAATTCAAGACCAACAATTGAAATGGCCTTAACTCCATTTTGTAAACAAACCTTGTAAGACCATTTTCGCGCGAACCGAAGTCCTCAATGGCAAATCAACATAATGAACAGGTAGGGAAAATTCTCCTCTACCCGTTTGTGGTTTAGGTTTGCGAATGAAGGTTTCGGTTCGCGAGAAAAGGGCCTTACAAGGTTTGTTTACAAAATAGAGTTAAGGCCATTTCAATTGTTGGTCTTGAATTGTTTTAACACTCTGATGGCGTTAAGCTCCAACTCGAACTAACTTTTAATACCGTCCCTGCTGGATGATCTGCCAAGTGTTTGCTTAGAGTCGTGTTGATTATTCTGATGTCGACATCAAAGCAGCCGGACATTCTTGATCAGGATTTAATCCGAGGATAATATCGGTTGGAGCTTACCACCATAGTACTTACAAATTACCCTCCGATAATAGGTAAATAAGTGCCGAAGCCGTCGAAAATAATCATTCTGGAAAAACTTGCTGGAACGCACAGTCCATTGTAAGAACTGACATAACATTTGTTGTAAGAAAACATGTAGAGGATGTAATAGATCAACTGATCCACACTTACATTTTGATGTTCATACCATTTGTTCTCATCATCGTCTTGATGCTTGCACGTTGATAGTTATTACGAGATTACTTGGAGCACTTTTCAGTTTTCTCTGCACACATCTTTTCAAAAATAAATAGACGAGGCTCGGTAGCTCAATGGTCACCGTTTCTGCTTACTGAACAGAAGGTCTGGAGTTACAATCCCCAACCCGTCCTTTTCCTAACACTTTTCACTATACCTTATTTTATCCCAATAGACTAAAAAACGGAAAACAAAAAAAAAATCTCCCTAAAACAGTAAAAAAAAACTTACCACGGTGTATCCTGATCTAAAACTAACCCACCTCAAATACCTATATTTTCAAGGGACCAAAAATCGGCACCATTTATTGCGCAGATGTGTGTACAGAGAAGGATACTTTCGGCATCATCGGTTTCCACACTCTCTATAAATCATTTAGTTTATTCTGTGTGTACTTCGTGAATATAATTGAGACTGAATCCTCCTGGAGAGATATAAATATTATCAATCAAAATACTAACCTCCATTCACAAAAGCAACCATCTACACGCGGCTCCTGCCGCGCAGACGGGGAAACCCTCTGCCACGGCCCCGAAGAACTTTCCCATTCGCCGGAGGACTTTTCGGTCTTAGAGCTTCGATCCGTTCGGTGCACCCGGTCGTAGGATTTTCCTCAAACGAACTTGCATACAGCTCGCTGTTGAAGTTCGAATTCGTCAACTCGGGCCCAATGGTCACCCACCCGGGACGGATAGTTGAATCTCGGCCAAATATGTGCAGTCGACGCCGGCCCAGGCAGAAATGTTCGATAATGTGGAAAATCTCAATCGGTTTTTCCAGACTGCCAAACTCTGCTTCTTCCGAGATGATCAAGTCGATATCCACATTGGCATGGATGAAATCGCCATCGGTTGAGCGGCGAACCGTCCCTTTGATACCCATCAAGCAGTGTTCCTTAGTACGCTGAAAAACCGCCTTCGGTTCGAGAATCTTCGAATGTCCAGGCGAATCAATGTTCGTCCGAATCCAACAAATGTCCTCGCAGCGACGGAATCCCCACTTCCGCAGACAATTTCGACCCATATCCAGTCCTTCCGAACTACCACACCACAGGAAGACAAAACTGCGATGAGCTGCCACTTCACCGATATCCAGCGCTAAAATTTCGTCCCAGGACCAGAAATTCCGCGGAGCACCAGCAGCAACGGCTGCTCCACCACGGGCATACTCCTCCAGCGGTGGCTCAATCAGAATCACATCAAACTTGGTTCCGAGGGTTTTCAAATCGAAACTTTTGAGATCAGCCCTCAAGTACATGGGTGGCGATGCGGTTTCCGATATCAGCTCGTCTTTCAATCGAATCAATTCCCGTAACTTCGGGTACTCTTCAAACCGATCGGCTAGTCCGACATCCCGGATGAAGTTCTGCGGCCGCTGCCCAGTGTCGACAAAGTGCTGGCAGTAATCGTTGTGCGGATTGGAGGATTGTGTACCCTAGAACCGTAACAGGTAGAGTCCATTTAATGTTCTGAATGGCATAATGGAGAATATTCAAACTCACTTTCAGGAACGTAGACGAATCCCGGTACACCATTCCTTCCGACTGCGACTTTTTCGAAGAACTGGCTTCCTCATCATCGTAGCGTTGCGATTTGTTGATCGGAGTGTCTTCCGCTGTACCCAGAACGTGCTTCAGGTCTTCCACACTCGAAACTCCCAGCTATACCAAGAAAAAAAATCGTTCTTTCACAAATTAGCACAAACACCCACTATAATCAGAAATACATACCGTTTGGGCAAGGAGCTTCTTGCGTTTCTGCGACTTTTCGCGAAGGGATTTAATTACATCACCCATTCCGGCCGAAGGTTTGAGGTATGCCGGGAACACTAGTGGAACATGGAAACAACTATTGAAACCAATCAAACAATCTCTGTAATAGATTTAAAACAGATTTACGGCACGCGTCCGCAACAAAACTGTAAACGAAACAGAAATCAACAAGCTGTCGTCGCTGCTGCAGGGACTTCCCAAGCTCGTGCCCACTAATACTGATGTTTGGACGTAAATACACGAGTTCTTAATAAAATTTCTTGACGTTTCCACCAATCAGAAAGTTTGTCTATAACAAATACATTTGCGTTTGGGAGAAAACTTGAGTTGCGGCGATGTCAGGTTTGACAGATTTGACAGTTTGGATTTCGGTTCGCAGCCGGTATAGTGGTTACTTTATTGTTGGTATGTTGTCCGCTTTATGGCCTAACGGCAAGCTCAAAAGAGGTTTTGCTTTAAAAAATTTGCTATATAGATTGCTGACGTTTATCGTATACGTATACGCTCGCGTATACGCAGGTATACGCTCGCATATACGCAAAATGTTTTCATCAGAAAAAAAAATCACAGCGGAAAATTTTCCTGATGAAAACAAATAACTGATACAATGACATTTCAGCAATCTATATGGGCAGGAAAAAAAATTCAATAGATTGTTAAGTTAGGGCAGCTCACCAGTATAAATGCGAACCATCACTTGACCTTATCAAAAATTCTTAAAAATTGCTTATAATTCCTGCTAAACTTAAAATAAAATGGTGATGGGTTTTTATATGAATGTATGTGTGATAGTTCTAATCTTATGTATTATGGTATTTTGAACTGGACCTTACAAATAACGAGACAAATAATAGGTTGTTATGAACCATTACCCTCGCCATTACCATTACAAATTCTTGTTTTCGCTATAGATTTTTGGAATGGAATTATATTACAACCATGATTAGAACCTTTTTATTTGTGATTTTATAATTTTAATGGTAATGGTTATGGTAGTCAGTAAGATCCATGGATGGTTTTGTAACATCGATCAACTTTATGTGGAATATATCGCGAATTGGTTGCCTGAAAATTAATAATAACATTCACGATAAATTACACATAAAGTTGACCGATTATTTAAAACCATGCATGGACCTCGGCATGGACCTCCCTAGTAAAAATCAGAGTCGATGTTCTATTAAAAGTTCCACCAAGAGTGAAGCCAGAAGTACCAATCGAACTGTCAAGCGGGGTACCAAACAAGCAGAGTAAATAAACATCATTGTTCCCACAGCCAGTGAACTACAAGTATTGCATTCATTACTGACAATATTTTAGTAATTTTAGATGAAAAACATTTATTCACTTTATTCAGGTTCTATAATTGTTTTTGTCTCCCAGTAGCTCCGTTATCGACATGCAATTTTTCACTTCTGAATGAAAGTCATCCGAAGCTAACGCAAATAATCTGGTTGCTGTTTACTCTGACGAAAAATAAATCACAAACAGTGCTGCTTGTTCGCAACATTTTCTCTTGGCAGGAGTCTTATTATAACATCGACTCTGGTAAAAATATCCCTAAAAGAGAGCTTAACGAAATCTTCGGGGTATCATCCAAACCATTTGTAGAATAGTTTAGCTATCTGGGATACAGTTCGTTTATAGTACGTTCAGACTACAGAGTTATAACATGTTATAGCGCTATCTTGATGGTGGTTTCTGTGTTGCAATTATTTGACAACCGTTATAACATGTTATAACTCTCCAGTCTGGACAACGTTTTATGGTACTTGTTTATTAGAGCAACCGTACCAATGAGTAAATAAGGCACATTTACCAACCTCTACCATAACGCTACTTGCGTGCCGGGGGTTGCTATTCAGGTGGGGGAAATAGCAATCCACACCTTGGGAAGTAGTGAGTTCATAAATTTAGCAACCCGGTAGCAACGCATGATACGGTTGCTATTTTGAATGAACGTCAAAAGTTTGTTTTGCCGGTGTGGAAAACGGTAACTTAAATTATGACTCTGATAGCAACGACCGGTGTGGAGAGGAGTGATTAAGCCAAAATGGAAACGCTGTGCGTAAGTAAAATAGTGCCGCAAATGACAACGACTGGTACGGTTGCTCTTAGGGCTTACTGACTACATTAATAAAATTCCACACATTTTTATTGACGAATTTCCATGCGAAATTCCACATGATTTTCATGTGACCACACATAAACAGAATCCACCCAGAAGCACACATGAAAGTTATGAGTCAAATGAATAGTATGTGTGGTTACACATGGATTTTATGTGTAAACATATTAAGTATATGTCAGACACATACATATCATTTGTTGATCACATTGCAAAAAATCATGTGTGGGACACATAAAAACAATCTTTCACAATTGGGTTCTTTAATTTTGAAAAATATATCGGTTTATATATCAAGAGCAAATTTTCATTACGTCGAATGTAACAAAGGTAAACAAATTCGAGCTATCAGTGTCAATCGATTCTCCTGCTATTACACTATATACTGTCCGAATATAGGATCAAACCCCATTTTTAAATTTATTTACCAGTCAAATTGCTTTTTGACGTAATCACCTTCCGATCAAAATAGTTTTCGATGTTACTTAAGTCACCCAATTTCTATGGAGATGCCGTTTGACTTAAGTAACAGTGCTGAGAAACCCGTGAAAAGTGTACGTTCGTCGTTTCGCTTTCTCATTATTAAAGTGAATAAATCGAACTGTTTGTTGCTAAGATGATTTCGGTGGTACTAAAATGATTAATGGGCTGCACGTAAGGAGACGTAATTGATAATTCTCAAGAATATCCTGGTAAATACACTTTGACTTAAGTAACAATAGGGGCCACCAAACGACGTATAATAACTTTTGACTCAAAAACCAGTATTTTTTAGCATGAAAGCTAGCGATTTGCATTTGTATGATTAAAACCCTGCTAAATATGTTAAACATTGCTATCACTATGAGATTATATGTGTTTACTTGGAAATAGGAATAACTTTTCGGTCATCAAAACAAAACTTTATTTTTCTCGGATTGGTGCGAATGTTACTTGCGACATAATGAAAATTTGCTCTTGATATATCATCTGAAAGAGCTTCGTTTTCTGAGCACAGCGATATTTTTTTCGAACCCACACGCTTTCATCTCGATTTTTAAATCAATATTTAAAGCAAAATAATAACTTCACTGTTTGACACTAAACTGACAAACTGACAGCTCGCTCCCATACAAAGTGACACCGAGGGGTGCTAATAAAGTGATTTTTGCAAATGTAATCGTTCTTATTTACAATAGTTCCAGTGTACCAAAATTGATGAAAATTTGGGTTCGGGTTCCATTTTTAATGCAGATTACAAATATGCATTTACCTCAATACCCTTAAAGAACCCAATTCACACATAAAAACAATCTTTCACAATTAAAGTTCTCAAATCATAAGCAAAAAGGTTCTAACAAGCAACTAATTTGAATAGTAATGGTTCTTAACAACCCATTATTTGTAAGGTCCACCTTAAGGTGATACGATACGTCACGCTTTTTTTGCTTTTTTCTCTCCTTTCTATGTGTCAGTGAATTGATTATCATTGATGCTGTAGTAGTGTGAGTGTACATCATGCACTACCGCAACTACCGTAAACATAGCTGCTAGAGTTCGTTGTTATTAGGTCGAATGTGTAACAGAGACTATCACTACATTTCCATTCAATTTGTCAATATTATCGACCTACCACCTCCCAGGACACCCCTTCCTATACAGAAAACAATTTTGCGCCTAGCCTCCAAGACCAACATGTCAAGTCATCATAGAAGTTAATTGATTCAACATCACACTTTGGTTACATACGACCTGTCCAAAAGTGATTTCAGAGCTCAAACCTCCAGGTACACGGTAAGAAAAAAGATCCCAAAATGAATTAATTTCACAAATCTCGGCACTATATTGTACGAAGCCAAAAGCGAGGCCAAAAGTAGGTAATGTGGGTCGAAGAGTTTTTATTTGATTGTTTTCAATTAGTATGGAACTGACAATTCGTTTCTACCCACTCAAAGTCAAAAGTAGGCAAAAATTAACTGGCCGCTGGATATTTTTTCTTATAGTGTATGTTTTTGTTTTTGAATCATCCTTTGCCGCCTTTTGCATATCAGCTGATGGCTTCGAGCAGTGCAACCAGAACGACACATATTTTTTCTATAGAAGATTTCTAGGATCATTTACTATCATTTTTTTGCCTTGAGAAACAAAATAAGAAATTGTTTTAAACATTTTTTAATGATGGTTTCTAAATTGCACCCAGTTTAAGTACCTTAAAAAGCAATAAAAACATTATTTTACACACTTTGTTTCAATTAAATCGACAACACTGGATACGATGAAAGATGATGATGCGGTGTGTAGAAAAAAGGTAATCAAAACAGTTTCAATTTGCAAAATTATTCGCGGCTCGCGTTTTTAACGATGCAAATGATATTATTTAAGTAAACATCGTCTTTAAAAGTGAATTAACTTGAAAGTACTTGTAGAAGCACGTGTCGTAATTGTTTTTAGTATGGTTCTGAGAAGTGAAAGCTAGTGAAAACAGTTGTTGAAATTTCATGCCCTGAGCAGAGCAAAATCCGCTGATCGTACTTTTTAATGTAAATATTACCAATGAGTGAATGAATTGGCAATATTTGGGTGGCAAAGTATTGAAATATGTATCCAGATCTTATTCATACAATTCAGGCCCATTTTTTAAGGTATGTTATTAGTAATTTACTGTTTTGTAGGAAGATGTCTTTCGTACGCATACCATAATACGTTTATTTAATGATTTTAGGGACAGCCATTGTTGCATGACGTGCCGTATCACCTTAAAGAATGATATATATTTGAATATTGGCTGTAAAACATACAGCGTTCAGAAGACAACAATTTACGAACAGGATGACGTGGAAATGCTTTAAATAAGATTAAGGTTCAATTTTCTTTGATGCTTTTTCGAAAAATTCAAGAGCAGTTTTTTTCGACGCATTAGTCCAGATTGCGAAATGCTCGCACTATTCGATTCCTTTTGCTATTCTACACAAAATGACGCGAGCTTTTAGCAATCTGAAAGAATGCGTCGAAAAAAACTGCTTTTGAATTTTTCGAAAATGCATCAACGTAAATTGAACCTTAATAGTTAATTCGATTGTTTACATTTCCATATTGAATAGCTATGAATAACCATTCTATCATGGATACAAAAATCGTGTGTTGGTAGAGGAAACTTCCTCCACTACGAAATAGACAATCTACGGTTTCCACGCTTTACCAATGTTATTACCACCACTGATAGCGATGACTATGTTTCTACGTCGTTTGTCAGCTTAGATTAGCAAATGACGTTTAGTATAATTATTTACATCGTAGTTTTGGATGATTTGATTTATGGGGCTGAACCAATACCATATGGATTTCAATTTGGGATGACAATTATTGTACAGAGAGCATTGCGTATTTCAACTGAGGTCCGTTCCCTTCTGTTCATCATGTATTCGAAAGGAGCATCATCTGATTACAAAATAATCATCATCCGGATGCAACGTTGCAACACTTGCAACTACACAGCAAAAAAATGTAATATCGATCAACGTAATTCAAGCTGATGCATGAAATAATGATGTAATAGCAAAACGCAGATACAATATTACATCAATGGATGTAATTTTGTTCGCAAAATCGATGTACATCGTACAATGTGATTTTACACAACCGATGGATTGACCTGGTTGCAGCAGTTTCGATGTAATATTCAACAATTTTTTTTGCTGTGTATCATTCGTAAAATTAAGTTTCGAAGTTTCGATTTGAATGGCCTGGGGTTTCGTTCGAACAGAGGATGATATTTTAATACAGTGTAGCTCGAATGCAGCGCGGCGCGCGGACGCGTTGAGTAAAAACAAAGCAACCATGTGGTGAAATTTGAATTTATTTTTCCTCTGTTCATTTCCCGACTCTTGTCCAAACGGAGTCGGCGGTGAACATCGATTCGGCGGAACTCCGGAGTCAATCAGCTGACCGACAAGAACATCTTTTTCTCCATCGTCACATTCTGCTGTAGACCTTCGGATCGAACGGTATTCTCTATACTATATACTGATCAGCTGGTTATAAGGTAATAGGAACCGATTTTTAAAGAACAATAGCCCCGAGGAACAATAGAGGACCTTGCTCAAGGACACCGGCCATTTTGACCAGAGTGAAAATATGACGGAAGAAAGCTTCAACAAAGCACCTGGATCGGAGTTCTCCAAAAGCCGTAAGAAGCGGAATTATGTTGGGTAACGGATGCTTTGTGACCTTTTTTCTCTTCTAGGATCAACTATCGTTACTATGAGCAACGTTAAAGTTGCCTCACCTGCACTGACATCCTCTGGCGCTTCGGTTCCACTTCCGGAACGGATGCACAACCCGACGGTTGGCATCAATCAAGGTAAGTGTGCGCAATTAAATTAAATTTTCAGGTTAAGAAGCGTGAGAATTTAATTGTTGCCCAGCAGACTACCCCTACACGATCCTGCAATATGGTCATCTGCTTCCTACGTTGGTTCAACCGGGGTTTTCGATGTTTCATCCACCACCACCGCCCGTTCCGGTTACCATTCCGGTGTTCTACCAACCCGTCAACGGGAACCTTCCTCAGCCGCAACCGTTCGAAACCAACATGTGAGTGTCTAGTGTTTGTATCGTTTGATTGTAGTAGAATAGGAAGTAAACAAAACAATTTAAATTTTGTGGACAGGTTCTACCGATGTGTGCCCCAACTTCCTGGAAGTGGAGATGTTTTTGGGCAGAAGATTAGCTGGGCCAAATGCAATGCAAAAATTGTTCCAAGTAAGGTGAAACATAAGGACCCGGTCGTCGATTTCAGCAAGTCGGACGCTCCGAGCGGGCCAATCAGGTAAACATTTCGCTTTTATTAAAGTTGATGGAAGCGACCCATTTCTCATAAGTGTTCAAAATATACATTTTTAATATTCAATCGCTGATCTGATCTTCAATTTTCGAAATGCTTTCTGGCTGACATCGGCTGGTAGTGGTAAATGTTTGAATTATGAAAAAGCTTTTCATAAATTTCGCGTTTATATGCATGGTTGTTGATTATCGCGTGTGAAAAAAGTAGAAGGGTCTGTGCCTACGGGCACGAACGGAAGCTTGACGTAGGACCGCTAGTGGACGGAACAAATATGTTGAACATTTAGTTCCTAACTCTTTCCGTCTTTGAATTGGTGGCCCTGAGCAGTGATGGAAAAGTTCGCGAAAACTCACTATGACTCACGAACTTTTCCCTTGGTGAACTTCATGAAATATCGCGAACTTTTCCAACACTGGCCATGAGAAGGGTGACCCCCAGTATAGAAATTAATGACGTAGTCCTACGTAAAAAAACAATGGGAATGGTGTTTGGTGAAACAGTGGCGTCTGCCCAATTCCAATCTATTCAAGCGCTGAAAATGCAGGAACTCAGCGATGAGTAAATTTGCCTCATGTTTTCCTGTGGAAATCAGAGTTGCAACGTATAACAATCACGATCGCCAAACAGCTGATGGTAGTAACGATTGGAAAATTCCTATCAACGTGCTTATCGAAGCACTCTCCATGACCATCCATCAAATTGACGAAAGAAGTAAAAAGCAACTGGTGAATGTCGTCTTCGGTGGTGATCCATCACCGATCTGGTCATTCCCGACAATCACGACACTCATCTGTGCTCGTTTTGAAGCAGTTGCTAGGTTGCTACTTTGCTTGTTTATGTGAGTGTGTTGGTGAGTGAGCCCAACAGCTTCCGTTTAGGCTCTGAACCATTTGGTGGATTATTTTAACTTTTGGTTAAAATCTGACAAATAGAAAGTTATCGATTAACCCTCTTAGGATTAACCCTGCTATCCGAGCTTGGTTACTTCTGACAGACAAGAAGTTAAATTTGACAACCTTGGCTAAGTTCTTATCGAAAACCGGTCGATCGACAGCACAGGGATTTTCGAACATAGAAAATAACTTTCGAAATGTCACTTTTAACCACAAGTTAAATTTAACTCGGCAAATGGTTCACAGCCTAAGTTTCGCCGGTTTTGGTTGTACATAGTCGCGCGCACCGAGACGAACTTGGAATGCGTAGGTATTGTATTCATTTTCTTCTGTCGTTTCGCTTTTTCTCATCATCGTACTACAGAAGTCTTCATTGTTTTCGTTGAGCTTTACAGCGAGTGTTACGTTTTGGGGCTTATTACGGATGTCACTTCACGGTGAAAACTTGTCACTTGTAGGGCCTTATTATGACCTGGAAACAGGGATCGACTAAAAACTCAGAGTGGTGCAAAAAACACTGCTGCTACTCTAAAATAAGGGAGCGCGTCTCTTATATTTGGAAGGAGAAAGAGACTAAGGAGAGAGAGATTTCATATTTAGGAGAGAGTAGTTGCACAGCTCAGGTGCTACTTGCGTATAGCACAATCGAGTAGTGCACGGTGTTATGACGGGAGTAGCACTTTTCAATGGGGAGAGACGTGGCTTAGAGATTTACAAGAATGGCTCCATATTTTAAGGCTGGGTGCAGAAAATTTTTACACTCATATAATATATGTTGCAGTGACTATATGGTATTCAAAAGCGTAGGAAAATGCAAATTTTGATGCTTTTCCTAAAGAGATTTTTCAAAGATCGATGTGTAATTTTCTTCACAAAGGGGGCCTGGTCGACATTCCGGCGAAAAATCTAAACCAACCCGACACCAACCTGACTTCTATCAAACCCTAACCCGATGTTGACCCGACATTGACCCGACATAAACCCTAAATTAACCCGACAACAACACGACCTTGGGTCGACATCGACCTTAAATTAGCCTTACATTGATCCGACATCGGGTCGACTTGTCTGCTCGGGACCATTTTGATGGGTTTCTTCCACACTCCACTGTCGTATATCAAATGATAGTGGGTGACTTAATTGACAGTGACAATGAACTTCGAATGAGGAAGGGGCTCTTCAAATGATGGGTACGAGATTTTTTTTTCACAGAATCGATTTAATAGTTGTATTGGTTCATTTTCAATCGAACGCTACAGTTATAGAGAAAGTACACTGTCGGAGAAACAAAGAGAGAGAGAAAGTGATTTAACACCGTTTGAGCGGCAGCTCTCCAACACAAGAAAAATGAAATGTGCTGCACAATTTAAAATGCTCTTTCACGTCTCTTTGGAAATGAAAGTGCAATCTCACAACAGCGTGTGTTTTACTCGGAAAAAATTGAGTAGCACCCGATCCCTGCCTGGAAACCACTTCACCGTGACGACAAGTGACAAGTTTTCACCGTGAAGTGACATCCGTAATTAGCCCTGTAGTCACGGTGAAATGATTCCCATTTGATTTGTACGGCAATCACGGCTCTTATTCTGAGTATTACTTCCTTATCACCGTGTAGTGACACCCGTAATAAGGCCCTTTGCCTGTGAGCAGCTGTTCTGTCGGCGATAGCCGGTTGGTGCGTTGACGAGTGTCGAGTGAGTGTCATGATATTTTGCATCACTGGTGGAAATCCTCAAAAATCTGGCGAAAATTTTACTCAGTCTAGGAGTAGTACCAATAGACGTTCGGGAATTATTTTTCCTGAACAGACCTGGAAAAATATGAGACAAATTTACTCATCGCTAAGTTACTGTTATTTATGGGATTTATATGTAAACTAAACACAAATTTGGGTCATTCTCATTTGCCGTATACCTGCGCACCAACTCTCAAAAAATTAAAACAAAATAGGGAAATGAATGGCTCTAATGTTGTCCTATATGGATCTAAATATTACACCCATTGATAAAAATCTCCTGTTCTTCAATTTTTCTTAGAACAATGCGTCATCTTGAAGTGCACTGAACATTTACTTGAAGATCCTGGAACCTCGTTTTGGAAGTTTTCCAGAAAACACAAAAAGTTCACCGGTCCTAATTAAAGTATGCTTTAGTCGTTTTAAAGTTTTCAGAATCGTCCCTAAAACTCTTTAGGCTTTTGAAGTCTTGTATATTCTCAAGCAAATTCGCCATGAACTCTGCTGAACCTTTTAATAAAGTCCTCCGGACTCCTTTCTAGGTCTACCATCTAGCATCACTGAACTTATTCAAACAAATGTTATATCCATTTTGTGAAAAACGAAACCGATAGAACTAAAATTCGACTCGTTTTTTCTTCCCTGGAGCCACCGGGGATCATCATATTCAGAGTTTTATGAACATTGTTGGTTTCTCAATATGAGAATTTATTATAAGATGCATAATATTGGATCGCCAATGAGGGCTTTACCTAAACAGAGATTCTGTACTTCCAATGGCAATCGGAATCTTTAAGAGAGTGATTCATGTGGTCCTGGACACTAGATACAACCGTCAATGATCTTGTTATTGAATTTTTATATGATTTGATATTTCGTGTGAATTGCGGGATAGACTTTGGTTGTCCATTTATGTTTGTTTGTTTAAATAATTTTATTAAATATATGTAACGTGTCCACGTGGATATCGATTATACCCTTTCATTATTCCCGTTGAAAAGCGTGGACTTTTCCCATTCCCTATGTTGTCCAAGTGGTATATGGACGGCCCCCAATTAAAGTTGAACTTGCATATAGAACTAACATAATATATTATTAATTTTCAAGCGATGCTCCTCTCAGTCCCGCAATCGCACCAGTGACATCGGATCGAAAAAGAGAAGTTGCATTTGGCTGTACCGGAGTCGTTGTGGGCCAGGAGAAGTTGATGACTCTGACGGAGATGGCTATGCAGGGCTGCGAACTTGCTGAGCAGTTGGCTAACAATCATCACAAGCGACCTTGTTTCAAGAAGATTGACAGTCTTTGCGCACGTATGAAACAGGATTTGATCCGACCGGACAGCGTTTTGGCGAACATCAATTCCCAGGGAATTGCGTGGGCCGTAAAGGATTTCATCTTCGTCTTCACGCGGATCATCAACGCTTGGATCATCATAAAGGGTTACGTGTATAATACGCCGGAAGGATTAGAGCGCGTGCAGAAAGTGATGAGCCCGGACTTTTTGGATCATTTTCTCAAATGGCAGGATTCGACGATTGATTTCGTTGATAGTTTGATCAAGTCATTCACGAGCCTGGACCAAATGGTGCAAACCCAGCGCGCTAGCTGTGCTCAGAAGGAATCCTCTCCGAAGGTTGGCACAGCTCGTCAGTCGAAAACCGACGAAGAGAAGGAACGAAACATTCAGGAATTGTACGAATACTTAAAGGACATGATACCAAATTTGGCGGAGACCAAGGCAAACTCGTCGTCGGATAACGCAAGTAGTAGCGATTTATCGGACCGCAGTAGCGTTGCTTATGACAATACTAAAAGCTATCTCTGCCCGGTCGTTAACAATTCGGAACAGACACAGATGAAGCACAGCGAAAATGGAACCTACTTCAAGACTGGGATTTACGAACCCGTCAGAAAACCACCGGGTTTCGACGCCTCAACTTCGGTTACGTGTTCCAAGAAAATTCCATTTCCGCTGGTCGATTCCAATGCCGTACCTTTTGCAACGTCCACACCGAAGATCTTGAAGAATCCCATTTCGCACAATCGGCCTGATGTGCTTGGATCGCTTGTCAGTTCGAATGAGTACGATGGAGAATCCACGAATACCGCCGGTCAGACGACTACGGAAGTTGCTCTGTCGTCGCAGTTGCAGATGGATTTCTTCAACGATGCCATCATCAGACAGAGCTTCGATAGTGAAACCGTGGCAAAGATCCACTTTCTGCTGCAGAAGGTGTTCAGCGTGAATGAAGCAAAGTACTTTCTGGTGGCGCAGTTTACCAAGAATTATGTGAGTATTTTTTTAAAACCGAAGGAGAATGCACGGTAACCTAAAAATACTCAATAATGACTATAAAGTACACATTGGTGATGATCAAACCCAGTGTATTAAAAGATATGTATAGGGGAAATGGCTCTAATGTTGGTCTAAGGATCTAAGATTGGGCCCATCGCTAAAAGTCTGCTATTTATCAATTTTATCTTGATTAACGCATAATTGGGACGGTACTAATGCATATTTGTGGTCGCTATTGAAAATTTAAACATAACGTTGGACATAACGCTCATTAAAACGCATCATTGTGCGACACTTTTTTAACATACAGAACAATAGTAAAATTGATTGTCGCGTGTGGGGTTGTCCGGTTTTCAACTGTACCGATGATTGTTACTACACAAATGAGCAATTTATTCATTTGTGAGTAACAGTTACTCATTATTCCCATCATTATTGAGTATTTCGCGGTTACCGTGTGGTATAATCCTATATCTTAACCTTTTGTGCGTGACACGTTGCTACTACATATTCGAAACGAAAAAAAAAAAAAAATCGTAGTTGCATAATCCCTTCCAATTTTCAATGCAGACGTTACGTTATTGAAGAAAGACTGACGTCATTAATTGGCCTTCTTTTCTTACCGCATGGCACATATGTATACTAAGCTTCGGTGTCCTTTTTTCGACGAAGCATGCGCTCTTCGTATCCTCTCTCTCTCTCTCTCTCCCTCTATCTCTCTCTCCAATTTCGCATGCCCTAATATCCTTTCTCTTTTATGTGGATCGAACGAGCTCGCCTATTTCGTCCGGAAAGAGAGAAGTCTCACACCGACTCACCGAAAAAGAATCATTCTATATTACATAAGCATAAGACCTTTGCCACCGATGATGTAACCGTAAATTTCCCTTTTCCAGTTTCCCGACTTTCACACGATCAATCCAAACTTCAAAGACTTGCGAGCGATCATTTCGAAGGCCCAGATCGGTGGCTATCAGACCATTTCGGGAATCGTGTACGACCTACGTCAGATTGTCCGAGCCGCCCGTCGCTATCTAGAAGTAACCCGCTTTCATGCATCGCCCGAATGTTCCGCTGCTAACCAACTTGTTGATTTCCTTCTCCGTAGCAAAAATCAAGCTCCCTGCTGGAGGAGACGGCAGACGAGTTTGAGCGCAGTCTTGAGGACATTCTCTGTGATAAAATTTTCGATTGTTACGATTTCAACCGTCTGCCCGGATCAACGTCCCCGACGGCCACCGTCAGTAGCCAGAGCAGCACCAGCGCCACAACCGCATGCTCTGCGGAGTTTTAATGTGCCGTTCCTTTGTTTGTTGTGATTTTAATTTATCAAACCTCCATCATGGCCGATGCCACCCATTGAAGCATCAAACCAAAGTAACATTTTAAGTAGTATTTAGATCTGATGGTATGCAAAGCAGCCAGCAGCAAGAATTGTTGCCGGAAGGTATCAGTAAATTTGCCATCTGTTCTGCACCAAAATCAAAGTAAGAATATCCTTATCCTAACCGCCAGATTCAAATTATGCTAGGAAAATCAAAATCATTGCAATCAGCTATAAATTTTTACGAACCATAACGATGTGATATGAAGGGAGATGGTAGCAAAGTTTTCAAAGCATTCGATAAAGTGAAACAAATTAATAACATGATAAAAATTGCACAGTTTGCAATTTTTGCTGAGAAAAGTTTTGATTTCGGATGGCGATCGCTCCAAATTAATAGTATAGTGTTTATGCAGAAACTAAGAATTTTACCATGTGTTAGTTGCTTTTATATTGTTAGTAGGATTAATTGATTAAATTGTAATTTTAACATTCAGACTATGGAACAAATTATGAAATGTAGATTTAAAAATGTTCAAAAGATGTTGAAATATCACAGAAAAGCTTATCAAATCAATTTTTGCTGTCTTCGATTGTTTTACTGTATAACGCCTATCTACCTACATCGGTTGAATTCATTTGTTGTAATTAGCAGCTCAGTCTGCTAAATCCGTTTCGAACTGTTGCCAATTATTTCATGCTGCAGGTTGTATTGAGCAATGTGTATGTGCTAATTAATAATTACCGAGTAAACAAAGATGTTGGCATTGGACAGAAGTGGTAATAAATCATTATGAAGAGACTGTTAAAGTCGTGTTGGTTGTATACCCAAGTTAAATCTTGATCGTGGAAGAGGAATCCTGTTTTTAGATTTTGATACTATGTTTCGTTTTGATCAAACTGGTACATCCGAATAACGTGTCTGGTACCTAAACAAATAACAAAACAGACTCGTCGTTACTCGCTCATTAAAGCGCAATTTAACAGTACTGAAATGATCCTCTTTGGTGCATTTCAGTGTTGTTCAGTTTCTGGTACAAAATTATCTCGGTGAGTATACATACTTCCACTTTCATTTGAAAATTTGGCCGAATTAATTCTGAGAAAATTAGTTACAAAAGTTTTAGTATACAATAATTGTAAAATGTGTTAAACCAGTTACATCCGAACTAAATTTCAAATGACCTATAAAGATCGAAAATCGGTCGTAAAATGGCAGAGATATGTGCAAAAACATTTGCATGTTTTTCAAGGGTGACCCCAAACTTATGATCGGGATTGTACCTACCTACGCAAATAAAGTAATGAAAATTTATTTCAAATTTTATTTAGGCCCTAGGTCCAATAACTTGAGCACTAGTGCCATAACTGGTACACTTCCCGAGCAAAGCTGGAAATCAAATTGAATTCAAAATGTGCTGTTATGATGTAACTTATTTTGAATACTCTAGTAGATCTCATTTTGGCTGACTTAACGGTTAACACAGCAAAAATGAGAGCAAAATTTTACATTGTTGAATCAAACGGAAAACTGATTCTTCTTTCAATGAAGTTAAGTTGCTTTCATTTAAAAAGTCTTGGCTGCATAATGAAAGCACAATATGATATCTTCTGTCGCGACAGTTGAAATCAAAATTAGTTTTCATTATGATAGGAACTGCAAACTTTAATATCGATTTGCTTGCATTTTGTTAACCGACTTTGCTCGGGTTATCCTACCTAGTTATTATTAAAACATTATTATTCATTATTCTGAATTTCCATGGAAATAACACTACGAACAGACATTTTTAGTTATTGCTAATTAACAATTACTAATAGCTAGACGTAAGTCGAACCTATTAATTTTAAAACAAACTACTACTATAAAGAACCTTGCTATAAATGTATTACAACAACCTTCAGGACGACTAGGTAATGGCGCTCTTTCTCCAAAATTTGCTTAGTATATCCACCTCCACCCATTAGCATAAGAAAATTCTCTCTTCATCGTTTCGAGTGCTCTCTCGCACTAAGAACGACGTAGCCTATACTCAATCATTGCTCACGCTCATCCGCGGAGAAAACTATCGCCGTCGTCGAGCATCGAACAAAAGCTGCCCGCTACGAGGCGCACAGTCTGTCGTCGGTCGGTTGCTTGTCCTCATCGCGTGTGGCGTGTATTCTGTCGTGAAGCGTTTTCTCCGGGTAAAAAGTCTCCCCCTATTCGGTCAGAGTTAGTCGTCTGCAGCTGTTCTGGACTCACGAAATCCTTCTCCACCTACCATCGCCAGCAGCACTTCGCAGTCGAAGAAAATTCGACCTCTCTTTTCTGGGGAGGGGAGCAGGACTTTTCCACACGGTTACACAATATTCTTCTTCTAACGATTTGGAAGGAAGCAATTCCTCCTGCTGTGAGTATATTGATTGATGGTGTCACTGGGTGTTGCGATTGCTGCTGTGCGAGTTGTGTGAATCGCGTTGGTAGGTGGATTCCCCCCAAAACAGTTGCAGATAGACAGTGTGGCGTGTGCAGATTTGTGTGAATCTGGATTTGATTGGAAAATTATCCATATCCCTCCCAGTTGGAGCGACACGGAGACCCTTTCACGGTACACGAATTAAACGCGTGTGTGATTTCTAGGTGGTGCTGCATTGCGTGGAAGCAACTGGAATAGATCTGACCTGTTTCCCCTGGCTCAGCTTACCGGAAGTGTGTGTGTGTGTGTTCAGAAGTGTTGAAAGATTCCCAGAAAAACTAACCACAAAGGACTTGAAATGGCTGTCCTGCAATCGATGATCCTGGCCAGTGTCCTGCTGCTGTCGTTCGTTGTACAAAGAGGTAAGCGAACCGAGAAGGACAAATTGAATCGATTTTTCACTCGCATGAAGTTTTCTTTTTCTTTTTTGATGAACGAAAACTAGAACACCGCAGGCCGTAGTAGTAGTTCAAGATTGCGGGGTTGATTATTCAATTCAGACTGATTGATGGAAGGACCGCAAACCTTCAATTCAATTATGTCACATTGCATTGCGCTAAACGAATCTGCATCTTGATCTACATTCGTTGCGAGGAAAGCTAAGGGGACACGAATTGCGATTTTTTTTTTCGGTTGATTTAAATAGTTTCAACGAAGGACATGATTATGTAAGAGGATATTTGGTGAGCGAGGGGGAAGCCGACCTGCTGCACTAGTGCTGCCAGTAGGTCTGTGGCGGGTGGGTGGAATGATAGATGATGGTAGTGGTGTGTCAGTGGGGGAATCTATGCGATCGATATCCTGTGCCGTGTGGTGCTTTTCGGTGTGTAGTTTGACTTGCTCAATTTTACCGCGGTACGGGAGCACGTGAGAGAGCACCAGTCACCACGTCGGGCTGAGCGAGTCAATTCACGAGCGGGAGAAACTCAAGTTCTGCATTTGTAGCAAATGTTGTTTGGACGTCTGGTGTTTTGCTGTTTATGTGTACGAGCGTTGAGAAACAGGTTCTGCTGTAGAATGAATTGGCTTGACTGGTAGGGGATTTATCTGCAGTAAATATTCGATACCGACAAACACAACACATAAAACGTGTCGTGAATGTTTATAGACATCTAAATTCCTGGAAGAACTTTGCTACGTCTGAATGTTACCTCATTCTTTCTATTTTCAAGGTCATGCTATACAAACGGTGACACGGCTTTTTGACGTTGGATAACGTCTTTCGGCAACATACGGGGGTACAAAATTGAAAACAGTCATTTTGGATGAGTTACGAAAAATTAAAAGATTTTGAACGATAATAACTCAACCATCTCTCGATAGATTTACGAGATAATGACATCAATCGATTGGAAATATTTCTAGCAATTTACTGAATGTTTCAAAACTATTGATTTCATTCTGTAAACTATTGAAAAATGGTTAAAAGTAAACCATTGTCTAAAGATGGTGAAAATCGATTGATTTTTTTATATTCTTATACTTTCTCCAACTGAGACATCAGATGCGAGTATCTGACACCTCTGATATTTTCTGTTCTACTATATAAGCGTCCAACAAGGTCGCCCGTTCCATCATTGTCTATCCGATCGTCGACCCAGCAGCAGAGCAGCAGAGCAGCGGAAGCAGAGCAACGGCAGCAGAGCAGCGGCAGCAGAGCAGCGGCAGCAGAGCCTGGGGGCGAAAGGGCAACTACGCCGAGTGGGTTGGTGCCAGTGCTCCGGTATACTGGGCCGCCGTCATGGAATGCCCAGCTGCTGCAGTTCTCAGTCGGTCGTATTCACCGTATGCTCCGCAAGGGCAACTACGCCGAGCGCGTTGGAAAAATGGCCCTTTTCAGGGCCACAACATAATCAAGAAAGAGTTTAACGATTAATTTTCTAATGCCTTTCCGACACTTTTTTCATGACTTTCATCGGCCTCCTGATATTCATGTGATTTTGTGGTGGGATTTTTAGCTATGTGAAATTCACATGGTTTTCATCCATTAGATACCTATGTGGTAAATTTTTTGAGTGTGCTTCGGCAATCAAAATAAAGTTTGCACGATGGAAGCGCACATCGTAAATTTCGTTCATTTTAGTAATAATTAAATTGCCCCTCTCCCCCTACCCTCTGGCAGTACATGAAAAGCCTTTTTGTGAGGGGAATTTTTCAAAAGGATGCCGATTAAAATAATGGGTACCATTTTCTGAGGATGAGATGAGAACGATTCGTCATCCATATGAAGCGTGTCACGATCATTCCCAAGGTATTTTGTGTTCACCTACTAACCAGGCTCGGTTTTATTGTTCTATGAGCCCACAGTATAGGCGTAATAATAATCTAGAAGTATCGCTTCAATACGATTAACCGGTTGACTAAGCAAAGAAGACCGGAAAGTCCCAACGGCAACGGTAAATGTTGAGCAATGAAGGAACAATACGCACACCACGATCATTTCTGAAATCTCAACCGTAATTTGCTAATGAATTTCATTCCGCTGCATCAATGTAGGCCATAAGTCCAGGGCCACCGCAGCTCTGCAAGGTAGGGGAAATGGATCTAAGATTGGGCCCATCGCTAAAAATCTGCTATTTACCAATCTTATCTATATGAACGTGTCGTTGGGACGGTACTGATGGATATTTTAGGGCGCTATTGAAAATTTAGTCGTTAGTTTAATTTTAGATATGGATGGAATGATAACACTGCACTGGTTAATTTCTTGGAATTCAAGACACGCCTACACTAATCAACCATCATCGAACTTACTCGATGAGGATATCAATTAACTAGGGAGAGCATGACAGAAAGATTCAACCATGTTTTTAATGGATTCATTTTATCACTCCTTGCGCACCACGAAGGAAACTGTTTTGAAAACGAAACTCTTTACCATCAAATTGGTCGTCCTGAAAAGGACGGATTTTGTTAAAGGGTGGGAACTTCGATCGAATTTAGGCCTTCTTTTCGGTCTTCTTGGGCAACAGGACGGCCTGGATGTTTGGCAGGACACCACCCTGAGCGATGGTCACTCCGGAAAGAAGTTTGTTCAGCTCTTCGTCGTTGCGGATGGCCAACTGCAGGTGACGTGGGATAATTCGGGTTTTCTTGTTGTCACGAGCGGCATTTCCTGCCAACTCGAGAACTTCAGCGGCCAGATACTCCATCACGGCAGCCAGGTAGACGGGAGCACCGGCTCCAACACGCTCGGCATAGTTGCCCTTTCGGAGTAGACGGTGAATACGACCGACTGGAAACTGCAATCCAGCGCGGCTCGAACGGGACTTTGCCTTTCCCTTGACTTTGCCTCCTTTTCCACGTCCAGACATACTGCGAACGACACGAACAGTTCGATGCTGAAACTGTAAGGATGACATTTCGACCGTCGAGGGTGCTTTTATACCTGCGTCGAGTAGTATATTATGAATACAGGGACGGTACAATAAATACTGTGGGTAGCAAAATACTGAAAATGGGATGAGTGTCGGTTGTCTCTACAGGCATGAAACAAGACAGCGTTGCCAGTATTCCTGAATTATTTGATTTTCCAGATTTTCAATCGTCTTGCCAGATACTTACCCAGATATAATTTACTTATTAGTTATTACGTTTATTTCAAGAATTTTTAATTATGTTCCGGATTTTCCCATATTTTTTAAATATGTTGCTTTAGAGAATTTCCAGCCCAAAACGAAAACCGGTTGGACATGAGCGTTTCCGAATTCAGTCCAATAGAGGCGATGGGGGCAAGAAGACCATACGGGGCGAGATGGGCCACCGTTCGTTTGGGCATAATACCTATTAACTCAATCTATTTTTTTTTACAAACTTGTTGAAAATGCTTCTAATATGCATCTTCATGAAAACCGTATCAAAATTCAATTACATGTCTAAGATAATAATGGAAATGTAACATTAGCTCAAAATCTCTAGAATATTATAAGATATGCAGTCAAGAAAACAAGCATCGCATTCACTATATTACATTTTACTGATCCGCTGGTTCTACAGCGAGCAATACACGTAACTGTTGCTAAAAGAACTTATGTTTCTATTTCACTTGATTCCTGCATGTTATTTTCTAGTGAAAACCTGTCAAAACCTTAACTTTTACTAGGGTGCTCATATTGCCCCGTATGGTTGTTGATCGGAGCAAAAACTGAAATTTTTCAAACATAATCATTTATTCAGTCTATCATTCCAAAACCACAACCAAAACGGCCCTTTTCAGGGCCACCAATATTTCGACAAAGAGTTAGTTTTGAAGACAATTTCTATCCAGAATATCACAGTTACACTTAAATTTGGGGACTATACTGGGGTGTGGGAACGCTGGAAGGGGAGAAGCTGTCTCTCTTCGAACTACCAACATCATTCCAAAGCTCCGCCAGGGCGACAGAGTAGAGCAAACCCAACAACATCAGCCCAACAAAACGGCCCTTTTCAGGGCCACCAAACTTTCGCGCAAAAGAGTTGTTAAGGAATATTCCTAAAATATAATATACACAATTAAATACAACACATAACAGACGTTATCCAACGCCAACCCTGCGGTCGTATCTAGTATACAACCCTTCCAACTTTTTTAAGAGCGTACAGCTCGATTCAATGGGAACAAAGTTTCTAATTAATATTAGGTTAATATTTAACAATCGAATTATTTCAAACACACTTACGTTACTTGGTTAGTGGTATTTTATTGCCGGTCGCGGAAACGGGGTCATTCGGCAACTCTCGAATTAACATAAAAGTATTGAAGTATTTTGTTCAGCCGTGTTAACTGCGTAAGTGGCTCAGTTTATCTTTTAAGATTACACTATTCATGTTCATTTTAAATAATGTGACAATTTATGGTAGTTAAGTGAAATATGCGATAGTTTGTCTTTACATTGATATGGTTGTCACAGACAAACAGACATAGCGCATTGAGTATTTTTCGCTGTAAAACTCCGTCACTAAACAGCAACCGCCATCTGGTGACTACATTATCATGGACAGTACGGTCAACAGAGGTTGTATACCACTAACGGTATAAGTTATATTTTTCAAAAGTACTGATAATTTTTCTGGAAAATTACTTTCTCAATGTCAAAGCAGTATCAAGTGAGCTGATTAAGGTTATGCTTTAAGCTATGATGTAATCGTAACGAATTCCATTGATTAATCTTTTGAAACATTATGAATGAATTCAAGATGATAATGGAATTTACAGCCTTAAATCTTTCCATGATAGTTAAAATTAAAATTATTGAGCCCGTGTGTTATGCTCACGTCTGTGTAATGCTTAACCATCAAACGCGTAAATCATGTAAAAGACTTGGATGTGATCTTGGATTCGCAGCTATCATTGTTCCCTTTTTGCACCGACGCTTGATTATTGTTCGGCGGTTTGAAACTCAAACTACAACAACGGTGCCGAGAGAATCAACGTGTTCAACGTCACTTTCTTCGTTTTGCACTGCGTAGTTTGCCTTGGAATGATCCGTTTCGATTACCCTGCTGTTACGAAAGGCTTTGTCAACTTATCGACCTAGAAAATCTCCGGACTAGAAGGGACACAAGCAGAGCCCTAACCGTTGCCGATATCCTGCAGGGAAGGACAGATTGTGAGGCTATCCTGATGCAAATTGACCTGAATGTTCAACCCCGACCGCTCTACGGCCTCTACGTCGCACAAATTATGGAGCATATGGTGCGATTTGCGGGCTGCAGAGATTGTTTAACAGAGTGGCATCAGTCTTTAACTTTCATCGCACCCGTGATGCGTTTCGCCGAAAGTTTTCTTAAATTTTTCGCCGGCAGGAGTAACTGACTATTAGATACATGTTTTTTTCAAATGTTTTTTTTTTTAATATTATGACCATGCTTGGATGCATTTTTTAACTATAGTTGTCAAAGCTTAACATTATTGGGGTTTCATCCCTTCATCATGTAAAACAACAATAAAACAAAATTTACAATTTTTATTTAATAATCGGAAAGTCGTATAAGAACCACTGGGTCTGTTCATAAGCTACGTAACGCACAATTTGGTATATCACATTATGGTATTAAATTAAACAAAGAAGTCCCAACTTTTCCGTGAACATACATCGGTATTTCTCAATTACTTTTCCAAAGGGGCGTATCTGCTTATGTAAACAAAGATTCAAACGTCTATTTGTCGAAATTCTTAGCATTCCCATGCGTTAACACCTGTTAACACCACCATTAGAAAGGATTTCCCCTTATTCTGCACCGCGAGTGAGGTGACTCTCCGTGCAAATCAAATTGAGAGCCACCTCAGTAGTGACAGTGAGTCACCTCACCTCACTTGCCGCACAGAATAGGCCTCAATGTTTCCCCAACAAGATAGTGTTGTTGCTTTGCGTGGACGTGCTGAGAATTTCGATAAATTGACGTTGGAATCTTTATTTAGAAAAGCAGATACGGATCTTTGAAAAAGTATTCGAGATTTGTGGCATCGCTGGAAGGGGGAGGGTGTAGAAAAGAGTTACGGTTCGTTACACTTTGTAGAGGGGGGAGGGGGTGTTCGGCAGAGTTACGCGTAACAATGAAATTCAAAGACATTTAGTAAAAGATCTCAGAGGCAAAATGACGCGTACACACTTAGAAAAAATCCATGTAAATATAGGTGCTGTGAGACTGACATATAAAAGCGTAAATTTTGACATACAATTTTCTAAAAATTGTAGCACAGAAATGGAATTTATGATTTATTTCTGATAATTTATTTGTAGCAAAAATAAATAAAAAGTAATAATGTTTTAAACCAAGGGGTAAGTCACTCAGCATATTGTGCCGAAATTAGATTCGGCACATCTTGAGCCGAGGGGCGCGCACTACCAGGTATGAGTGCGTGATATTTAAAATACATCATAGTCATTTAAATACTTTGAGGACAGTTATCATTTTATTTTAAATACTTTAAGCGGCATTGAAAGTAATCGACATATATTTAACAATTACTAATATAAGGGCAAATAATTTAAATGTTTTGAAAATAATTAAAGTATGAAATATTGTCAGTATTTAAAGTATTTAATGAAATTTATAGTGTATTTAAAGTATTGAAAGCAGTAATGACAAGATTTTAAATATTTGGTCAGTAGGCTGCGTAGTATTGAAAGACTAGTGCGTGCCCCTCGTCTTGAGCACATCCATCGGCACAACTTCGGCACAATCTCGTAAGCATTGGATTGTTGAAAATAAAATGGGAACACTGCTGGATAACTGTCATTTAAGTTGTTCACAACATTACGTGCTATTTGACTGTATATTCAGGAACATCCTCTAATTGAATATACCAGAGGAACGCTGACCAGCAGTTCATTTATAGATCTAAATACGAAATGTACACTGATAAAATTTCAAAGATTGTTTTTATGTGTCCCACACATGAATTTTTGCAATGTGATCAACAAATGATATCTATGTGTCGGACACATACTTAATATGTGTACACATAAAAGCCATGTGTAACCACACATTCTATTCATTTGACTCATAAATTTCATTTGTTATTCTGAGTGGATTCTGTTTATGTGTGGTCACATGAAAATCATGTGGAATTTCACATGGAAATTCGTCAATAAAAATGTGTGGAATTGTATTAGTGTAGGTTCTAGAGTGGGTTCCCCTTGTTTTAAACCCATATATGTCCTTGACCGATTTTTGAAGTTTTTTTTTCAAAAAAAAAAAAAAAGTTTATTAAAAGTTTTCTTTGATTGTCCATGGTTTTAGGACACTTGAAAATTTTCAAAAATCATAAAACAAGAACTTTTAAAAAATCTTTTAAATTTGTCGAACCTCTTAACAGAATCCCTTTATAAAGAGCTTTGGGTGTGTTGGTTTATTTCCTTTAAATTCCGTTATAATTGCATATATTTTGACAGATACGCGTATTTCGTCTACTACTTGCAGACTTCATCAGTGCCAAGTGTTGTTGAGTACATGGCACTGATGAAGTCTGCAAGTAGTAGGCGAAATACGCGTATCTGTCAAAAGATAAGCAATTATAACGGAATTTAAAGGAAATAAACCAGCACACTCAAAGCTCTTCAAGAACTTTTGGTCAAAATTTGAACTTTTTTTAAGGGCACTTTTTTGAGTATTCTTTCACAAAAAAATGGTTCAAACATTGTTTTCTGAGTATAAATTACTTGAAAAACGTTTTAACTAGAAGTTAAAAAAAATGACCGAAAGTTTAATTATTAGCAATTTTTACGTGTCCATATTTTCAATATATCAAAAGTTTCATGAGATTTTTATTTAAACAAAATTAAAAAAAAAACCGAGCAGGGATATTTTGAAATAGTTAGATATACGATTCATTAGT